TAGTACATCCTGATCTGGTCATTGTTTTCACCAGATATTCCGCAACTTGACCAGACATGATCTGATCTAAAGTGAACATTTCATAAATGAATATCTCATCCTGTTTGGAAGAGTATATTTTTATGTACAATCGTTTAATTTTGAATCCAGTTTAAAGGACTTTCATCAGCTCCTGTATTGGAAACTAAGTACAAAGGGAAAATTTTGTTGTCACATGACAACAATGGTATTTTGACTTGCAAAGATGTATTTGGCATTTGGTGTTGCGAACTTACGTTACTGATACATGTACCACTTGATATTACTAAAGGAAGAAAATAGGCAGATACTATAACTTTTTTATTGTTAAGAATGCTGATAATGTTGCTATGCATTCATACCACGTGTTATAGAATCAATATTTGGTCATGACCAGATAGTTTTTCCTGTAGGAACTCTATCTAACTCAGAGATTTATAACGATAGAAACTCTATCGTTATAAATCTCTGATTTAGAAAAGAGTTCCTACAGGAATTAGACCAGATAGGTGACTTCCAGAGGTTGATAGGTGTGTATGAGGATCTACAATCAAAATTGTTACAGCGTCAACAGGCCGTGTTAAAAAAGAACATGCCCACAAACCGAACGGTTGTTTCAGCGTGTCACTCACTGCATCTGGTTCGTCGATTGGTCGATAGAACGTTTGAGGTCGATGTCGTCCTTGATTTCAGAAGCAGTGTAAAACATTGTATCTTTTTCAGCGTCTTGTTGTTTGTGCGCATTGTCAACTTAAGATTACGCATACACATATATGGAAATGTTTCAAACCATGTGTCATGACTTGAATGTTTCGTTTGATATGTACTTATCCACATTTTCGTGAACTGTAATGGTATTTCTGATAACAAAGCAGCTTATATTACAATCAAAATCGTTACGGCAGTTTTGATTGTAATATAAGCTGCTTTGTTAGGCCCTAGCCATCGGTCCTAACCCTCCCGACCAATACAGTGTACCTTTACATGTTGGCACGCTTGTGTGTGCTGGGGTGTATTGTATAACTATTTCTGTTTTAGACTGGGAACCTTACCATCAGTCCTAAGCCTCCTGACCAATACAGTGTACCTTTACATGTGGGCACACTTGTATGTGCTGTGGTGTACTGTATAACTATTTCTGTTTTAGACTGGGAACCTTACCATCAGTCCTAACCCTCCTGACCAATACAGTGTACCTTCACATGTGGGCACCCTTGTGTGTGCTGGGGTGTATTGTATAACTATTTCTGTTTTAAACTGGGAACCTAACCATCAGTCCTAACCCTCCTGACCAATACAGTGTACCTTCACATGTGGACACGCTTGTATGTGCTGGGGTGTACTGTATAACTATTTCTGCTTTAGACTGGGAACCTTACCATCAGTCCTAACCCTCCAGATCAATACAGTGTACCTTCACATGTGGGCACCCCTGTGTGTGCTGGGGTGTATTGTATAATTATTTCTGTTTTAGACTGGGAACCTTACCATCAGCCCTAACCCTCCAGCCCAATACAGTGTACCTTCACATGTGGGCACCCCTGTGTGTGCTGGGGTGTATTGTATAACTTTTTCTGTTTTAGACTGGGAACCTTACCATCAGTCCTAACCCTCCCCTCCAATCCAGTGTACCTTCACATGTGGGCACGCTTGTGTGAGCTGTGGTGTACTGTATAACTATTTCTGTTTTCGACTGGGAACCTTACCATCAGTCCTAAGCCTCCCCTCCAATACAGTGTACCTTCACATGTGGGCACGCTTGTGTGTGCTGTGGTGTACTGTATAACTATTTCTGTTTTAGACTGGGAACCTTACCATCAGTCCTAACCCTCCCCTCCAATACAGTGTACCTTCACATGTGGGCACGCTTGTGTGTACTGGGGTGTATTGTATAACTATTTCTGTTTTAGACTGGGAACCTTACCATCAGTCCTAACCCTCCAGACCAATACAGTGAACCTTTACATGTGGGCACGCTTGTGTGTGCTGTGGTGTACTGTATAACTATTTCTGTTTTAGACTAGGAACCTTACTATCAGTCCTAACCCTCCAGACCAATACAGTGAACCTTTCCATGTGGGCACGCTTGTGTGTGCTGGGGGGTACTGTATAACTATTTCTGTTATAGACTGGGAACCTTACCATCAGGCCTAACCCTCCAGACCAATACAGTGTCCCTTCACATGTGGGCACGCTTGTGTGTGCTGGGGTGTATTGTATAACTAGTTCTGTTTTAGACTGGGAACCTTACCATCAGTCCTAATCCTGTAGACGAATACAGTGAACCTTTACATGTGGGCACGCTTGTGTGTGCTGGGGTGTATTGTATAACTATTTCTGTTTTAGACTGGGAACCTTACCATCAGTCCTAAGCCTCCCCTCCAATACAGTGAACCTTTACATGTTGGCACACTTGTGTGCTGGGGTGTACTGTATAACTATTTCTGTTTAAGACTGGGAACCTTACCATCAGTCCTAATCCTCTAGACGAATACAGTGAACCTTTACATGTGGGCACGCTTGTGTTTGCTGGGGTGTACTGTATAACTATTTCTGTTTAAGACTGGGAACCTTACCATCAGTCCTAATCCTCTAGATGAATAAAGTGAACCTTTACATGTGGGCACGCTTGTGTGTGCTGGGGTGTACTGTATAATTATTTCTGTTTTAGACTGGGAACCTTACCATCAGTCCTAATCCTGTAGACGAATACAGTGAACCTTTACATGTGGGCACGCTTGTGTTTGCTGGGGTGTACTGTATAACTATTTCTGTTTAAGACTGGGAACCTTACCATCAGTCCTAATCCTCTAGACGAATACAGTGAACCTTTACATGTGGGCACGCTTGTGTTTGCTGGGGTGTACTGTATAACTATTTCTGTTTAAGACTGGGAACCTTGCCATCAGTCCTAACCCTCCTGACCAATACAGTGTACCTTTACATGTTGGCACGCTTGTATGTGCTGGGGTGTATTGTATACCTATTTCTGTTTTAGACTGGGAACCTTACCATCAGTCCTAACCCTGCCAACCAATACAGTGTACCTTTACATGTGGGCACGCTTGTATGTGCTGGGGTGTACTATATAACTAGTCCTAACCCTCCTGACCAATACAGTGTCCCTTTACATGTTGGCACGCTTGTATGTGCTGGGGTGTACTGTATAACTATTGCTGTTTTAGACTGGGAACCTAACCCTCAGTCCTAACCCTCCTGACCAATACAGTGTACCTTTACGTGTGGGCACGCTTGTATGTGCTGGGGTGTACTATATAACTAGTCCTAACCCTCCTGACCAATACAGTGTGCCTTTACATGTGGGCACGCTTGTATGTGCTGGGGTGTACTGTATAACTATTTCTGTTTTAGACTCGGAACCTAACCATCAGTCCTAAGCCTCCCTTCCAATACAGTGTACCTTTACATGTGAGCACGCTTGTGTGTGCTGTGGTGTATTGTATAACTATTTCTGTTTTAGACTGGGAACCTTACCATCAGTCCTAACCCTCCTGACCAATACAGTGTGCCTTTACATGTGGGCACGCTTGTATGTGCTGGGGGGTACTATATAACTATTTCTGTTTTAGACTGGGAACCTAACCATCAGTCCTAACCCTGCCGACCAATACAGTGTACCTTTACATGTGGGCACGCTTGTGTGTGCTGGGGTGTACTGTATAACTATTTCTGTTTTAGACTGGGAACCTTACCATCAGTCCTAACCCTCCTGACCAATTCAGTGTACCTTTACATGTGGGCACGCTTGTATGTGCTTGGGTGTACTATATAACTATTTCTGTTTAAGACTGGGAACCTAACCATCAGTCCTAACCCTGCCCACCAATACAGTGTACCTTTACATGTGGGCACGCTTGTATGTGCTGGGTGTACTGTATAACTATTTCTGTTTTAGACTGGGAACATACTTTATTGGCACCTTTTTTTCATAGTTCCACTTTACTGGAATGTCGCAGCACAGACACTGTAGCACCCATCACAGACCATTTTATACTCTATCTGGAATATGCTTTCCCTGGAAATGCCATGCTATAATGACTTCATGAATTGAAGCCTGGCCATCTTCGTGGAAGGCCAGAGTGTTAACCTTCCCAATCTGCCCTTTTGAACTCCTGGTACCTTATCATTGATTTGTCTGAATTAATTCCTTTTGTGCATGAATTATGAAGGGCTTGTTTCCAGATGGGACCCACATGTACACTGTTCACATTTGTAAGGTGATGGATTAATACAAAACATGATCTGATCACGTTAAAATACAGGTCGCAGAAACATGGTACAAACCAATAGCTATTGACGGTACCAATAGGCAACTTGAGATTATTAGTGCTGGTTCAAACATAATGTTGTAACAAAAGTGTGACCCGTTTGAATGGGCTGTGAGAAGACATATATCTTGTTTCTAGTACTATTGAGGCCTGCCCGGTAACTGTGTGTTCATCATTGAGTTCCAGTGCACAGATGTATAGATAAGGCATTTAAATATCTACACAGCTCCTCAAACCTTTAAAGAAAGCCATATATCTCTGTTAAAATTTAAACGTTTACTGTTTGTGTCAACCTTGAAAAATGTTTAAAGTTCTGGAGAATGTTTAAATGTCTCGGGCATGGCAAACATTTTGTGTCAAGTTTGATGTTTGGTTTTATTTTCATACTTGTAGAAACCAGTAGGAAGCCTGTGATAATCTGTTTGTTCTCTAGTTAAATGTGTCTGTATGTCTTCTGTTGTCCGGTCTGTTTGTTCTCTAGTTAAATGTGTCTATATGTCTTCTGTTGTCCGGTTGATCTTTGTACCTACAGGTATACCTGTCGAGTACCAAACAAAAGCCCAATCATGCGGGAACAATTTGGTATTATGTAGAATTTTGTCGGTATACAATCATTTTTGTGTCGCATTATAGTTGACTGTGTGTAGCCCTGAAGTTTATTATATATACTGTAATGATATCTATCTTTATTAGATGATCGTCGAGCGAGCGACGGACTGTCAAGCCTTTGCTGATGGCGGGGATAGCTGAGACAGCAGAATACTAAGTCATTACACGGGACAAGATCACACCAGTTACCAGGAGAGCAGACTTTCGACATTGTCAACATTTATATCCTTCCAAGTCTGAAGGAGCAAATCAAAAATGTTATAAATTTCTCTAGTGTCGTTTGATATGTTAGGAATTGCATGATCTCCGTGAGCAGGGATATAGATGTAAGTGACAGTGAATATTGGCCTATATCTACGGCCGTCAACGAGACAACTGGCCAATTTAAAGTCCACTCTGGAGGAGGAAGGTCGTTATTGTTTAGGTTTAAGAGTGTGTATTGAGACCTTTAAATTGACAGGTACAATTTATAGAAGGCACTTACCTATATATATTGGGTATTTAAACCTACAATACAGAGAAACCTTTTAGATTCTGTGATTTGGATTTAGACAAGGAAAAAGTCAAGTCGGGACACCAAACCACGCATCATTAGATCCTGTTTCTATTTGACATGGTTGACTGAATTTTAGCGGATATTTCTTTTAACACTTGCTGTGCTCAATGTTATAGACCAACAGATTTGTGGTCGGTGATGGTGCCGGCGTTGTGAAGAATTCCTTTCTGTTGATCTTGTGAACATTTTTTTTTCTTCAAACCATGGCTAAAAGTAAGTTTGAATATGTGAAACATTTTGAGACGGAGGACCGATGCTTACCAAACTGTTGGATTGTGATTCGGATTGACGGAAAGGCATTCCACAGGTAAATATTGACATAATATATATATATATATATATATATATGTATTACCTATCATACAAACTATACCATGCCTACAGGGACACCTTATTGGAGTCACCATTATATCTGTAAAGATAAATATTATCATCCGAGAGCAGCTTGAACTGTTTAGAAATTCTATGTTTATTTTTTCTCGAGTTCCTGGTATAAGATAGGACAAGAAGAAGTTCCTCTAAGACTTTGACCAAAATTATCACCCAAGTGTTTACTACAATTAAACCTGTTTGAAAGATGAAACACTTTGAATGGTAATTGCTCTTGTTGAAAGTGGCTATCTCCAGACAAACAGACCATACTTGGGCAAGAATTTTGACAGTAGGTATAATTTCGTTGCATAAGTCCTATTTAAATTTTTACACCAATTTACTAAGATAGTGTGGTTGATGATATGACCACATCGGTCTTGATACGTAAGAAGTGGCATTCTTCACTACTCCTGAAACTTTCTCCCCATGCAGGTCCTGGTTTGTTACGTCCGAACACTAGTGGAGCCTCAACAATCTGTCACCTTCCGTCTCAGTAGATAATCAACCCACATTTGTTCACAGAAATAATTTGGCCAGCTTCATTCTCAGATGATAATCCAGTCATGCACCTTCTAGATATATAATCCAGCAACCTTCATTTCCAGTATAATCCAGCCACCTTCATTCCCAGTATAATCCAGCTACCTTCATTCTAAGTATAATCCAGGCACCTTCATTCCCAGTATAATCCAGGCACCTTCATTCCCAGTATAATCCAGGCACTTTCATTCCCAGTATAATCCAGGCACCTTCATTCCCAGTATAATCCAGGCACTTTCATTCCCATTATAATCCAGGCACCTTCATTCCCAGTATAATCCGGCTACCTTCATTCCCAGTATAATCCAGGCACCTTCATTCCCAGTATAATCCAGGCACCTTCATTCCCAGCATAATCCAGGCACTTTCATTCCCATTATAATCCAGGCACCTTCATTCCTAGTATAATCCAGCCACCTTCATTCCCACTATAATCCAGGCACCCTCATTCCCAGTATAATCCAGGCATTCCCAGTATAATCCAGGCACTCTCATTCCCAGTATAATCCAGGCATTCCCAGTATAATCCAGGCACGTTCATTCCCAGTATAATCCAGGCTCCTTCATTCCCAGTATAATCCAGGCACGTTCATTCCCAGTATAATCCAGGCACATAATCCAGGCACCTTCATTCCCAGTATAGTCCAGCTACCTTCATTCCCAGTAAAATCCAGCCACCTTCATTCCCAGGATAATCCAGGTACTTTCAGTCCCAGTATAATCCAGGCACCTTCATTCCCAGGATAATCCAGGCACTTTCATTCCCATTATAATCCAGGCACCTTCATGCCCAGTATAATCCAGCCACCTTCATCCCCAGTATAATCCAGGCACCCTCATTCCCAGTATAATCCAGGCACTTTTATTCCCAGTATAATCCAGGCACCTGCATTCCCAGTATAATCCAGGCACTCTCATTCCCAGTATAATCCAGGCATTCCCAGTATAATCCAGGCACGTTCATTCCCAGTATAATCCAGGCTCCTTCATTCCCAGTATAATCCAGGCTCCTTCATTCCCAGTATAATCCAGCCCCCTTCATTCCCAGTATAATCCAGGCACGTTCATTCCCAGTATAATCCAGGCGCCTTCATTCCCAGTATAATCCAGCCGCCTTCATTCCCAGTATAATCCAGCGACCTTCATTCCCAGTATAATCCAGGGACCTTCATTCCCAGTATAATCCAGGCATTCCCAGTATAATCCAGGCCCTTTCATTCACAGTATAATCCAGGCCCCTTCATTTCCAGTATAATCCAGCCTCCTTCATTCCCAGTATAATCCAGCGACCTTCATTCCCAGTATAATCCAGCCCCCTTCATTCCCAGTATAATCCGGCTACTTTCATTCCCAGTATAATCCAGGCCCCCTCATTCCCAGTATAATCCAGGCACGTTCATTCCCAGTATAATCCAGGCCCCCTCATTCCCAGTATAATCCAGGCACTCTCATTCCCAGTATAATCCAGGCACATAATCCAGGCACCTTCATTCCCAGGATAATCCAGGCACTTTCATTCCCATTATAATCCAGGCCCCTTCATTCCCAGTATAAACCAGGCACCTTCATTCCCAGTATAATTCAGGCACCTTCATTCCCAGTATAAGCCAGGCACCCTCATTCCCAGTATAATCCAGGCATTCCCAGTATAATCCAGGCCCCTTCATTCCCAGTATAATCCAGCCGCCTTCATTCCCAGTATAATCCAGGCCCTTTCATTCACAGTATAATCCAGGCACCTTCATTCACAGTATAAACCAGCCACCTTCATTTCCAGTATAATCCAGCCTCCTTCATTCCCAGTATAATCCAGGCCCCCTCATTCCCAGTATAAACCAGCTACCTTCATTTCCAGTATAATCCAGGCACTTTCATTCCCATTATAATCCAGGCACCTTCATGCCCAGTATAATCCAGCCACCTTCATTCCCAGTATAATCCAGGCACCCTCATTCCCAGTATAAACCAGCCACCTTCATTCCCAGTATAATCCAGCCACCTTCATTCCCAGTATAATCCAGGCACCTTCATTCCCAGTATAATCCAGCCACCTTCATTCCCAGTATAAACCAGGCACCTTCATTCCCAGTATAATCCAGGCACCTTCATTCCCAGTATAATCCAGCCACCTTCATTCCCAGTATAATCCAGCTACCTTCATTCCCAGTATAATCCAGCTACCTTCATTCCCAGTAGACCACTTGGCCACCCTCATTCCCAGTAGACCACTTGGCCACCTTCATTCCCAGTAGACCACTTGGCCACCCTCATTCCCAGTAGACCACTTGGCCACCCTCATTCCAAGAAGATATTTTCCTTGTAGATATTTCAGCCAACTCTTTATTTCCAGTAGATAATTTGGCCAACTTCCTTCCCAGCAAAATTTGCTGGATTGTGAGATGACTGGAATAATGGGACAGTTTTGATTAGAAAAGGGCAAACAGTGCCCTTAAGATGGACTCAGTTGGATAAAAGAACTACCGAGTGGTGGCTGGAATTATGAGGCTTTACTTTAGTAGGTTGGCAGGAAATTCTGATAAAGGACTATGTATGGTTTGGCCCTTTCTTGGCCCCCAAATCCATCAAAATTAAAAATCTGCGATAGAACTTTCAAACGAATGTTTCTTTAAATTTGAATACTTCCCCAGTACTATTATGTTAACATTTATTGGTGTTTCAATTTTGACTACCATGGTAACCAGGTCATATTTGCATAAATTATTGAAATTTGATTATTCAGTCAATTTTGACAGGTTTTCACCTAGTTTTTCTCTTAGCTACCATAGAGTGCACTCTTGAACAAACTTTATATTTCTCCTAAAGATGTATTACAGGTGCCTACACATTATCCTTTGATATTGAATTTGTTCAAGCATGCACTATATAGTTTCTAGGAGAAAAACTATGCAAAATATCACAATATTGACTGAAATAATTCATTTTTTTTCTAATTTATGCAAATTTGAACTTATTACCATGGCAACAATAATTAGAAATATAAATAAATATTTTCATTATAGTATTTGTGGGAAGTATTCGAAATTAAAGAAACAGTCATTTCAAAGTTCATTTAAAGGTTTTGAATTTTGATGCATTTGGGGGCCAAAACAGGCCCAAACCATACATAGTCCTTTGATTTTCCTTTGACATGGGCATATTCTTGTGTATATTGTTACTACTTATAAATATATACAAAAGTTTTTACGACTTACTGCTTCCTTATGACAGTCCTGAGATAAACAATTACCTGAGACATTGTTTAAAGGTCTGAAGCATGTTTCCGCCAATGCTGAGAGTTAAACCTGTCTAGTGGTGTACCTGATTCAAAAGCTATAGACGTCATGACTGAAAACCCTCACGATAGTGTACTGATACATAACTTATGATAAAAACTGGGGCCTGACATGTTCAAGAAATATCCCTGCTGGTATTGCTGAATATTTGGACCATGCCAATAATGAATGTGTTTTGAAGTGTACATACTTTGGCTTTACATAATATATATTAGCACTCCATTGTATCAATATACTGCTGGCAGACAGCCTAGGAACTGCCAATGAAAGTTTGTGTGATGCAAATCAATCTGACACCTATAATAGGAATTACTATAGATGTTAAGTTTGATCAGGTAGCGATATATTTCTGGGTCTATCACTGAAAGTGAACCAGCATATAAAGTGTGGTGATAATGATGCAGTATAATGATGCTATAGCTAGTAAAATGTTATCAATCCTTGTATGTTTGTAAAAGTAAGGTTCATGGTTCTATTTTGTTGATATTTAAATATTTTGACTCGCTTAGTAATCAGGTCTTGTGCTCCGTGCTCAAATAACCGGAAACTCTCCCTGGACACATAATGGTAGTTTAACAAGGGTTTTACTGTATCGGTCAATTACTGGTCAGAAAGATGAAATAAAACAAGTCTGTAATGAACCTTGAGGCATCTAAAAATAACTTTGCTGTATGCAAAATCTGTTGAAGTTTGATATTCTTGAAAACATTACTTTCCTAGCAACAGATTTAAATGTGTAATTTATTATACATTTATTGCCCTTACCGTAGGGAAACATGGTTCTTTGTTTCTCCAAGGTTAATCATATTTCACAAGAATGAAGCAATAAATATTTCATTGTGTAGAAAAAATCAATCAGTCAATCAAAAACAATAACACAATAGTTGAGAAGATCCGGTTGACGCACCATTGTTGTCGTCTGCCATTCAGAACTAGGTTGTGGTAACTCATGCCAATTTTTTTGGAGAGGCTCAGAATAAAGAAAATATGAGCAGGGAAACTTGAGCGTGTAAGGGCAACATGATGTTTTATTGCCCCGTCATGTGACCAGTATCATCCAATTAGACGCGCTGATATATATGGAAGAGGTATATTAATATTA